GGTCCTAGCACAGCAATCAGGCAACACAAAGAAACAAAAGGCATCCAGATTGGCAAGGCAGAAGTTAAACTGTCACTGTGTGCAGATGACATAATATTGTACATTAAAAAACCCTTAAGAACCCACTCCAAAACTACTAGAACTAATATCTGAATTCAGCAAAGTTGCAGGATACAAAATTAATAGGCAGAAATCTGTCGCATTCTATACACTAACAATGAACTAGCAGAAAGAGAAATCAGGAAAACAATTCCATTCACAATTGCATCAAAAAGAATAAAATACCTAGGAATAAACCTAACCAAGGAAGTGAAAGACTTATACCCTGAAAACTAGAAGACACTCTTAAGAGAAATTAAAGAGGACACTAATAAATGGAAATTTATCCCATGCTCTTGAATAGGCAGAATTAATTTTGTCAAAATGGCCATCCTGCCTAAAGCAATCTACAGATTCAATGCAATCCCTATCAAAATATCAACAGCATTCTTCACTGAAACTGGAACAAATAGTTTTAAAATTCATATGGAACCACAAAATACCCCGAATAGCCAAAGCAATCATGAGAAGGAAGAATAAGGCAGGGGGGATCTCGCTTCCCAACTTCAAGCTCTACTACAAAGTCACAGTAATCAAGACAATTTGGTACTGGCGCAAGAACAGACCCATAGACCAGTGGAACAGAATAGAGAGTCCGGATATTAACCCAAGCATATATGGTCAATTAATATACAATAAAGAAGCCATGGATTTATAATGGAGAAATGACAGCCTCTTTAACAGCTGGCGTTGGCAAAACAGGACAGCTACATGTAAGAGAATGAAACTGATTACTGCCTAACTCCATACACAAAGATAAACTCGAAATGGATCAAAGACCTGAATGTAAGTCATGAAACCATAAAACTAACAGAAGAAAACACAGGCAAAACTCTCTTGGATATATAAACATGAGCAACTTCTTCATGAACATATCTCCCTGGGCAAGGGAAACAAAAGCAAAACTGAACAAGTGGGACTATATCAAACTAAAAAGGTTCTGTACAGCAAAGGACACTATCAGTAGAACAAAAAGGCATCCTACAGTATGGGAGAACATATTCATAAATGACATATCCAATAAGGGGTTGACATCCAAAATACATAAAGAGCTCACACACCTCAACAAACAAAAAGCAAATAATCCAATTAAAAAATGGGCAGAGGATCTGAACAGACACTTCTCCAAAGAAGAAATTCAGATGGCCAACAGGCACATGAAAAGATCGCTAATCATCAGAGAAATGCAAATAAAAACCACAATGAGATATCACCTCACACCAGTGAGGATTGCCAACATCCAAAAGACAAACAACAACAAATGTTGGCTAGGATGTGGAGAAAGGGGAACCCTCCTACACTGCTGGTGGGAATGTAAATTAGTTTAACCATTCTGAAAAGCAGTATGGAGGTTCCTCAAAAAACTCAAAATAGAAATATCATTTGACCCAGGAATTCTACTCCTAGGAATTTACCCTAAGAATGCAGGAGCCCAGTTTAAAGTTGACATATGCACCCCTATGTTTATCACAGCACTATTTACAATAGTGAAGAAATGGAAGCAACCTAAGTGCCTATCAGTAGATGAATGGATAAAGATGTGGTACATATACACAATGGGACATTATTCAGCCTTAAGAAGAAAACAAATCCTATCATTTGCAACAACATGGATGGAGCTAGAGGGTATTATGCACAGTGAAATAAGCCAAGTGGAGAAAGACAAATATCAAATGATTTCACTCATCTGTGGAGTATAAGAACAAAGAAAAAAAATAGCAGAACCCAAGAATGGACTAACAGTTACCAAAGGGAAAGGGACTGGGGATGATGGGTGGGAAGGGAGGGATAAGGGGAAAAGGGGGCATTACTATTAGCACATATAATGTAGCGGGGTGTGGGCATGAGGAACGCAGTATAACACAGAAGACAAGTAGTGATTCTATAGCATCTTACTATGCAGATGGATGGTGACTGTAATAGGGTATGTAGTGGGGACTTGATAATGGGAGGAGTCTAATAACCATAATTTTGTTCAGGTAATTAATTGTATATTAATGATACTAAAATAAAAAAAGAAAAGAATAGTATTGTGTTCAGATGGGGGAGATTGTAGGAAGCATAATAAATTTTTCGTGTATATCCACTGTATCACAATAACATATTCACCTCAAAAAAAACAAAGAAAGGAATTTATTTCATTTTTTCATAGGTAGAACCTGGACTTTCTGTTCCTATGTAGAACTAGTAGAGCTTGTTCACTATCAAGATAGAAATGTCCAGTAAACAGTTCTATAGCTCACAAGAAAGGTAATGGCCATGTATATCTGTGTTTGTGTGCATAGATATTAATTTTGTAACCATGAAAAAGAGAACAGATGATTTAGGAAGAAATTTTAAAATGCACTAAATGTTGGAAATGGGTAAGACAGAGTTCAAAAGCCAGGAAAAAAACAAAAATTGGGGATTAGACAAGAGAAATGAAAGCAATCAGACTAAGGAGAGTTCAGAGAGAAAGAAAGAGAAATGGTAAAAATCAAAAGATGACAGTTTAAAGCAAATACGTGGTCAGTGGTGCCAAAGATCTTAACAAAAATCAAACACAATGAAGGCTGAGTACCAGTCACTGCATTTGGCACTTGAGGACTGACTGTCTCCTTAAAGAGAAAAGTCCTATAATGTTTCTCTTTAATAATCTTCTCATTTCTATAGAAGGCAACTCAGAAACCCTTAAAAATTTTCCAAATTAAAAAAAAATTTTTCCAAATTAACCATCTGCTCACCAATCCTATCCTCTATCACTGGCAGATCCCGGACATAGTTAATTACTGTTCCTGATGGAAATGTTCAACTCCTCAGGAATATTTCAGGGTATGGGTGCAGTGAACCACTGAATCAGGGGCAAACTGAAGACAAACATCCAAAAGAAACTAGAAAAAAGCACTTAGAGAATTAGGAATTAAATTTTTAAAAAAGGATGGAACTCAAAAGCCACATGAGGAAAGTATTTCCAGAAAGGAATCAAACCCTTTTAGGGTTCCTCTTCATTAGTACAGTGGTGAGTATCCCTGCCTGTCAAACCCATCTATCAATTCAAGCAAAATAAGGAACAAAAAAGTATCCATTTGATTTACCACACATGGAAGTCATTGAAGACCTTGGTAAAGCAATTTCAATGGCATAATAAGGTAGCTAGGTCCTTGAGAAAACAAGAAGAAAGTACAGGGCACCAGAGGAGGGGCTGTTCTTATGAAAGAGCAGAGACTACACTTCTGGTGAAATTGAAAATATAAGGGAGAAAAGGAAGAAAGGAGAGTTGCACACTCAGGTTAGTTTATAGGTTTGATGCAAGAAATGGAGGAAGTTTACATACAATGCTTACCTGACGACTATGTACACTCCAAAAACCGATTACAATTCCTGGAATGCATCCTACTAAAACATACACCATGTCCGCCATGTGTTATTTCTTCCACTTCTTCACCTGGGAATGTTCTATTTAGACTTCAAAACCAATTCCATCTAGAAAGCCCTTTCTGACACTCCCCTAACTACTCCAGTTATCCACCTCTGTATTGTTTTACTTTGTAAACAATTCTACTACTACGTTTACAACACTATATGACACTGCATACCATTATAGCTTTTTAAGACTATTTCTTCTGCTAAAATGGTAAGCTACTTAAGGGTGGGAACTGCCCACATATCAGGAACTCAAAATTCGCATAAACTGAATTTAAATCAGAATGCAAAGATGCATCAGAGATCCTAACCTAGGAATCTAACACAGTCTAGTTCAGAAAACAACATTAGTAAGTTTCAATAAAAAGTATGTAAATTATCAGAAGGCAAGAAATTTGGGCAATAATAAAATGTACAACAGTCAGAGAAAAATTTGAATTGCATTTCAATCGTTTATAACCTACTTTGGTCTACAAATGTGTGCATATGCTTCTTACTGTGATGCTCAATTTAAAAAAAGCTTATTTTTGCAGCCGCTGTAAGCACGGTTCTATTAACACTATCTCATATAAGAAGTGGTTTTACAACGCAGTAAGAAAAGATTAAGTAAACAAATTATTTTAATACAAAGTAGAACATGATGGCGATTAGGAAAGAAAATTAAAAACATGATTAACGTCTTAAAAATACGAACTTTTTTCTTAAGGTTAAGAGATTTGGGTGTTAACTGGGGTAATACAATTTAATGTGCTTCTCAAATTGCTATGTTTAACTTATCTTTTTATTTTTAGCAATTACTGTTCAAAACTACCAATAAACCCGACCGCTATATTCAACACGTAAGATTAATCCTAGCCTGAACAAATGCTCTGAATCCTCCCCATAGATGGTTGTGAATAAACGCCTTGTTTAAAAAAAAAAGTGTGGAAGCGGGGCCACCTGTGTAGTACAAGAATTTAACAGAGAGTATGTTTCCAACTCTTCTTAAAAATGAGCACCTCTTTCATTAAGAGTCTGTCATCTGTTCTGGGTCTTAGTACTTTCCACGGGATTGAACCCCTTCGTCGAGTGCGGCAGCAGCGAGCGGCTGCCAACGTGAGTCACAGGGTGCGGGATCCCAGGTTTCTGAGAAGCCCCAGAAGTGTGAAGTGTGGAGTTGAAATGAAGCGACCAGAAATCAGGTGTCCCCAGGACACCCGGAAGGGAAGGTGACAGCAAGTTCTTGGGCAAACAGGCAGACCAGCACCCAAACGCCAGGGGGCCGGGCGGAGGGGAGTGGTCACGTCGAGACCGGAAAACTTTCTGCAGAGCGTCGGGTTCAGTCCATCACTCGGGCCCAGGTGCGGAGCAGGGCAACCCCAGCCCCACCAGCCTGCCAGACCCCGACTCCTTACCGTCCTGCAGAAGCTCCCGGACTGTCGCTGCAGCCGCCCCAGAGACCAGAGCTCCAGGGCCAGCAACAGCGACGCCGCTGTCTCCACCTTCCATGTTGGCAGGGGCCGGATGATGACGTCACGTCGGACCCGCTCCGCCCAGGCGGTGACGCAAAATGTTGGGGCCGCTCATTCCGCCCTCCCAGGGCCCGGCCGGCCTGGGGAACGGACCCGAGAGGCTGCTGCTGGACCAAGGCTTCCTGGGAGCAGCGTGGGGCCCCGAGCAGCGCACCCAGGAAGCCGAGGCCGCAGACCGGCGCTTTCCGCAGTGCTCCGCCAAGCCCTTGGTGTAGTACCCGAGCTGAAGAGAAGGTGGGCGCCGCAACGTGGCTGCAGTGCTTATCTCTAAAGCAAGTATTGAACCTAAGAACTTGGGTCTCTCGGTGGAGGCAGGATGGGAGAGCGGAGGTTTCTGGGAGCTTCGTGTGCACTCCACAGGCACAGCTGGCGGAAGTTAATACCCGGCTTCATCTGTTACACGTCTTTGACTCGCAGTCCTGGGGTACAGGCAGGCAGTAAAAGTTTGGGAAGGAAAATTGCCCTGGATGAATGGTGAGGAGAATTAGAGAGCCGAGAGTCGGTGAAGAAGGAAGACTGAACCAGGAAAACACAAGTGGAGGCCGTCTCTTCCCTCCCTCGCCGGAGACCGTGACGTTACGCTTTTTCTCTCTTCCTCTGAGTTTTAGCCATGTGCAATGAGTGATCCCAGACTTCTTCCTATTACAAATAGATGGAGTTTCCGTACCTCATCTAACAGTATTTAAGCTATAAAATCGAGTTAGTTCTTATCTTCTCCGCTGATACATCTGTATTATTCACCTAGCTTTCGGCCCAAATAAACACTGATAAATTAACAGCCCACCCCCACGTATGCAAGATTAAACATTGCTTCATAAAAACTAACTTTTCCTTTATGTTCACAGGTTACCAATTTTTCCCAATTATAGAGCTACGTAGTTCTCTTGATTCTGCTAACAGTATTTTGAGAAGGTAGTATATTAGAACATACCCTGTGTCAAAGGTTTTTCTAAATAATAAATCTAAACGCATTTAATGCAACAAATCAGGTGAGCAAGTCTCCTGATACACTTACTGCATTATGCTTTCTCTTGACTGTCACCGAGGCTTTTCCTTAGTCTAATTTATTTGATCTCAAGCGTGTTGTGAATAGAATCCATGGTTCTGACTGGAAGTCACACAAATTGCCAAGGGCATTGTGCACAGACTCAATTAGGATTCATTATCCATAATACACAAAATATTTAATAATTCTTGAATGTTGACGAATAGGCACTATATTTGAATGATGGGTTCTCCTTCCTTGGTGTTTACATTGCAATATTTAGGAAAGATTTAATATTTCATTCAGTGAAGACTTTTGAGCCCTATACCAGCATGATTTTGCAAACATAAGACTCAATCCTAATCTTATCCCAAAGGAGCTAATAAGGTAAGGTAGGAATATAGTTAAACAGTTGTACCAGGTGCTTTGGAGTGTATGTATTGATTTATTCCCAAGCTTGGGTGCACAATGAAATCACCTGGAGAGCTTTAGAAAACACTGATGCCTGCATCCTAAGCCCAGAGATTCACATTTAATTGGTCTGGGGTATAGTTTGAGCATCCTTATTCTTAAAAGTTATGCAGATCATTCTAATGTAAACCAAGGTTGCGAACTAGTGATATATTCATTCAGCAAATAAGTATTGAGGGAAGCCTTAGTGCCATATATTGGAATACAAGAATGAATAAGAATGACATTTTTCTTGCTAAAGTCACTAATGACTTAGACTTTTTAAGTCTTTACCTTACTTAACTTTTCTGTGGTGTTTAAGAAACTTATCCCCTCCCTCCTTAGTAATACTCTCCCCTCTCTTGGTTTTTGAATTTTGAAGTTTATTTCCCAGCTTCAGAGTTAATCTCCCTGTCTTATTTGTATTTTTTTTCCTCGTCTCTTACTTCAGTGTTGGTGCTTCTAAGGATTTCTTTCAAGATATGGCATCCTTAAGTACTTTGTCTAAGTTTTTCATTTCAGTTTAATACCTAAACGTTAAATACTCTCAATCTCTTCCTCTAGTTTTTTCCTGAGCACCACATCTATATAATCAACTATGAGGCATTGCAGTCTTGAAATCCCATGAACACCTCAAGTTTATTACACCCAAATGTGAACTCATTATTTCCCTGGCAAAAACATATTCCTCCTTCTGGTTCTCTATCTCATTGACTGGAGTTGCCATCCACCTAGCCTCTAAGCCAGAAGTGTATAGGTTGTCCTACAATTCTTAATACAGATTGTACACTGTCATGAATTGAGTGCCACCTCCTATCTTGCCAGTTAATTTTTATTTCTAAAAACCTCCTGAATGTGTTCTCTTTTCTCTTCTAACCCTGGAGTCCCAGGTCACACACTCATGCATAACCTGGTCTACGCAACGGCCTCCATACTCATATTTTGCCAACAGCCCTACCCACTCCAGTGAAGTCTTTCAGAATCAGAAATCTGATCATGTCATTTCCCTGCTAAAATTTTTCAGTTAACAACTCGCATGCAAAGAGATACACAGCCTCTACAAAAATACCTGGTATGCTTATGGAAGTATGCCACATGTATGTTAGCATGTTGAGTGCATATGTAAAAATCACCCATGGAAAGGAGGAAAAATGGTTAAGAACTAAGGACCTGCAGTATAAAGTCTAAAAAATTTTAACCTGGTATGTAAGGCCTATTACTATTTAGTTATAACTATAGTTAGATAGTACCTCTACTCTAGTTACAACTCAAGCAACACTGAACTACTACTGTTTTATTGAAAAAGTATTTTCAAATATTCATGGCTTTACATATGTTGTTCTCAGTAACTGGACCTTCCCCTGTCTGCCATGTAATGTCATCTCAAGCATTCCCTCCTCTGTTGTTTATGACTTTCCCCCCTTCTCTAGACAAGTACTTCCACAATGGTTGAATTATGTGTGTTCAAGCTATTGTTTTGTGTATGTCTTAACTCTAATACATTTTTAAGGACACAGGAAATGTATTTTAATCATTATTTCTAAGATGTGGCAGGAACTTAATGTTTGTTGAATGAATAAATGTGCACTCAAACACTGAAGAAAAGACACACGTGTTATTATTATACTCTATACTTAATTGCAAATGCACAAAACAGGAGTGTTATGAGTATAGTGGGGAAATGAGCTCTATCTGGGATTCAGAGAAGACTGTCTTGACACATCAAGATGGGGGTTATGAGTACAGAGACTGGGGCAATGAAGATGTACTAAAGATTTAATTAAAGGTTGAGCTTGGCTGACACACTTGGAGATGAAGCAGTGGAGAACAAACTCCAGGTTTCAGACTTTAATGCATCAGTGTGTATGGTGATGGCACAACCAGGATATGAAATGCAAAAGAGAAGAAACAGATTTGACTCATGAAAAGGATTTATCATTTGCTTTCTGTTGGTTATACTTCATGTATATGGTTTACATTGTTCTAATCATGGATTCTTATTTTTTTAAAAAGATAAGCTAGTAACTGTCTAAATTTTTATGAACTCAGACTGAACAGCAATCAATAAAACTAGTTTATCTTATTCCAACTGTACCTTCTTCCTAAGGAAATTGAAATTATTGATTTATATTTAGGTTATATCAGCACTTTTTAGATTAACCAAATGAAAAAATTGCATGTTGAGCAATTAGATCTTTGTAAAATTGGCCCATATCTACTTCTAAATTACTAAGGCCAAAAACTGGAATATGGAAAGAAGCCAGCAGTATAAAATGATAGAATTTTAAGTATAGCAACTATAAAGCACTTGTAAAATACCTAATTTAATCACTTGTACCTTTGATATAAAAATGATTTATGATGCAATTATGTGATTATAAGTGAAATTTTCACTAGATAATGCCACATCTACATTTTCTAAAATAATATAAGGTTTGTTTGTCTTCTGATTCAGATACAGAATAAGACTTGAGAACAAGAACAAACATTACACATACCAATATACTTTTTGGAATGCTAACTACTTAAAGCTAACAACACTGTTGTTCAGATAATGCCATTTAACTTTCCTGGATAAAACAGTGCGTTTCAAAGTACCAGACATATATAGTAAGTATTATGTATGAAATGATTCAAATCAAATTTCCTGGTTTATCAATGCCAAAGTAACATTGAAAAATTAAAAAGTAACATGAAAAATCATAACATGATATACCAGGAAAAAATCTTTTACTTTCCCACATCTTGAGCATTTGTTAATTTGAGCAGAAAGTGTTACTACATGCCATTAAATGTAGAATTTGAAACTATTGGTGTTTGACACAACCATAATTCGTAAAGAATATAAATGTCATGATTTTAATGTGCTAAAAACTATGTGACTTATAAATGAAGGCAGAGTTCTGTTGCATCCTAGTTGATATTGTGAAAAAAAGATCCTGAGCCCACAAGCCTGATGGAGAACATGTTTTTAACATTGAAATTCTTAGAATGATGGGAATTCATCTAATGAAAGTAACTTTTCTCTATGCAAACTGATTGTCTTTTTCAGATTTGAAACAAGTCTGTATTCATGAAGAGTGACTGCATTCAAACCACAATATGCCAAGAAAGAAAAAAAGATCCAATAGAAATGTTTCATTCTGGGCAGCTGGTGAAAGTCTGTGCACCAATGGTTCGATATTCAAAGTAAGTATTGTTAAATAGCTAATGAGCTAAGATGTGATTTCCTTTTTATACTCCACTTCTTAAAATTAAGACATAGTATCTTCACACACCTAGCTTTGGCATCACGGTCCAGGCTTGAGTCCTGGTGTTACCACTTGCTTGGTATGTGTGTGGCCCTGAGTAAACAATACATCTCTCCAAGCTCCACTTCCTTTCTATAAAAATGATAGCACTTATAACTCCCATCTATAAAGATACAATGGATATTAAATATAAGCATTTATGCATGGTTTTTGTGTGAACATGAGTCTTCATTTGTCTGAAACAGATTGCCAGGACTGAGGTAACAGGGTCATACAGTAGTTGTATGGTTTTTTAAGAAACTATCAAACTTTTCCAGAGTGGCTGTAACTGTTTCACACCCCCACCCATAATGTATAAGGGATTTAGTTGCTTCTCATCCTCACCAACTTTTTATAATATCCGTTTGTAATTTAAGACATTTTTTTTGTGATAGGTGTGCAGTGGTATTTCCTTATAGTTTTAATTTCCATTTCCTTTATAGCAAATGATGTTGAACATCTTTTCATGAGTTTATTTGCCATCTGTATATTGTTGAGGAAATGTGTCTTTATGTTTTTTGTCAACATTCTAATTGGATTGTTTTCTTCTTTTTAACTGTTGAATTGGCTTTTAATTTTTTTCAATTGGTAAAATACACACAACTTAAAATTTACCATTTTAAACATTTTTTAGTGTATGGTTCAGTAGTACATTTACATTTAAGTACATTCACCTTGTTATATATCTAATTGCTAAAAATCTTTTCATCTTACAGAACTGAAACCCTATACACATAAAACAATAGCATCCTATGCCCTCCTACCACCCAGATAATGGCAGCTACCATTCTACTTTCTCACTCTTTTAATTTGACTAGTCTAGGTACCTCGTGTAAATGGAACCATATACAATTTTGTCCTTTTGAGACTGGCTTATTTCACTTACGGTTCATCTATGTTGTAGGCTGTATCAGAATTTCCTTCCCTTTTAAGGCTGAATGATAATCTGTTGTGTCTGTATACCACATTTTGCTTATCCATTCACCCAGTGATTCATGCTTGCATGGTTTCCACCTTTTAGCTATTGTAAACAATGCAGCTATGAATATGAACGTGGATGTATAAATATCTCTTTGAGATCCTGCTTTCAATGTTTTGGATATATGCCCGGAAGTAGAATTACTGGATCATATGGCAATTCTATTTTTAGTTCCTGGAGGAACCACCCTGTTGTTTTCCACAGTAGCTACACCATTTTTATATTACCACTAGCAGGACACAAGAGTTCTGGTTTCTCAACATTTTCACCAACACTTGTTATTTTGTTTGTTCCATTATTCTTATTATAGCCAGCCTAATGTGTGTGAAAGGTATCTCATTGTAGTTTTGATTTCCCTAGTCTTTATGTTTTCCCTAGTAGTTTTGTGTTTACCTAGTGATATTGAACATCTTTTCATGTGCTTATTGGCCATTTGTGTATCTTCTCTGGATAAGTGTCTATTCAAGTCCTTTGCCCATTTTGGAATCAGGTTGTTTGTATTTTGGTTGTTGAATTTTTGTTCACTGTAGCTTTTGAGAGTTCTCTGTATACTCTAGACACTGGTCTTTTGTCAAGTATGTGATTTGCAAAGATTTCCTTCCATATGTAGCTTGTCTTTTCATCCTCTTGACAAGGTCTTTTGTGGAGCAAGAGTTTCTTATTTAGTGATGAAATCTAATTTATCAGTTTTTCCTTTTGTAAATTGTGCTTGTGTCAAGTGTAAGAAATCTGTGTAACTCTTAATCCTAAAGATTTTTTCCTATTTCTTTTCTAAAAGTCTTATTGTTGGTTCTATGTCTTATGGTTAAGTACATGAGCAAATTAATTTTTTTGTATAAGTGTAAGGCTTAGGCTGAGGTTCCTTTTTTTTTTGCTTTTGGATGTCTGATTATTCCAGCACCATTTCTTGAAATGGGTGTGTTTCCACGATTGAATTACTTGTGCATCTTTCTCAAAAATCAGTTAGGCAAGATTGTATGGCTCTCTGTCTGGATTTTCTATTCCGTTCTGCTGATCTATGTATCTGTCCCTCCATTAATACCACAGTCTTGATTACTATAGCTTGGGTAACTTGTCACTCTTTCTTTTTCAAAATTGTTTCAGCTATCCCAGTTCATTTGCCTTTCCAAATAAATTTTAGACCTTGTCTGTAGCTAGAAAGTATCTTGATGGAATTTCCCTCAGAATTATATCAAATATGTATATCAATTTGGGGAGACCCACATACCTTACTGTGCTGAATCTCCCAAGTTATGAACACAGTATGTCTCTACATTTATTTAGATCCTCTTTGATATTCTGTCATCATTGTTGTATAGTTTTCAGCATACCAGTACTGTACATCTTTTGTAACACACCCAATTATTTCTCTTCTCTTTTTAGTGATTGTAAATAGTATTATTCTTTTAATTTCAATGTCCATTGCTGGTTCTATAGAAGTAAATTTGATTTTTTTTATGTTCATCTTGTGTCCTGTGAACTTGCTGAAATTACAGAATATAGGACTTTTTTTGGTAAATTCTTTGGGTTCATCTATGTAGATAATCATGTCATCTGCAAACAGGGACAGTTTTATTTCTTCCTTTCCATCATCTGCCTTTTCTTTCTTTTTCATGCCTTATGACGCTGAATAGAAGTTCTAGCACTGTGTTGAGTAAGAATGATGAAAGCAGACATCCTTGCTTTTTCTTGATCTGGGAGGCAATGTTCTGTCTTTCACCTTTAAGAATAATGTTAGCTGTAGGATTTTTCTTTACGGATGTTCTTTATTATGTTAGTAAAGTTCCCCTCTATTCTGTTTTTCTCAATGAATGAGTATTGTTTTGTCAAATACTTTTTCTACACTGATTGACATAACCATATGATTTTTCTTCTTTACAGTGAATTATGTTGATTGATTCTGAAAATTGAGCCTTCTGCTTTAACTGTGTTTTCTGATATCACTACAGCAGGGAAAGGATGAGCAGGCACTACCTCATTATTCTCAGGTGGAGGTAGAAGTCCAGGTTCCCCACTTAGTCTCCTTTGATGCTTTAGTGGCAGGAGGCTCCACATCACTGCTGAGCAGGGTTTGAGTCTCAGCTCCCCAAGCAGGGGGTGGCCTTGTAACTGCTGGGCAGTGATGAAAGTCCTGGCTCCTCACTAAATATCCTGTGACACTCCTCACAGTGGACATGGACAGGGAGCCTTGCTAATGCAGAGTAGGTGTGGAAGTCCAGGCTCCCCATGTGGTCTCCACTGATACCACTGAGAGGGACCTTATTACTGGCCAGCAGGGATTACAGTCCCATTCCTTTCTTAGCCTTCTCTGACACCCTGTGGAGAGAGGTGGGGGAACCTCAGTACAAACTTAGGAAGATAGAAGTTCTGGCTCCCCACTCAAACTTTGTCTTTGAAGAAGGGCCACAGTTTTTCCTCTGGTGTTTGGCTGGAGTAGAGCCAGTGTTAATTAAAAGTTTTGTGTCTTGTTCTGCTGCCTCTTTCCTGGTCCTTTGGTTATAGAGAGTAGACTTGTTGGGGCTGTTTTTGTCTGCACCCATTGGTATTTCTAGGTTGCTATTTCTTCAGCATCAAGTCTGGGATATCTGAGGCAAAAAAAAAAAAAAAAAAAACCCAGGAACTTACCATTGTCAATACCCAGGTCTTAAAGGAGGTCAGTGTCTAGTCTGCTCTCTTCTCTGCACCTTTCAGAGTTCTTATATTTATTTTATATATGATGCCAGGGTTTTTAGTTATACTAGCCAGAAGGAATAGGAAAAAGTATACCTACTCTATCTTCCCATAAACAGGACTTTCTGCTAATATATATTTAATAATTAAATTATTAAAAAATTGACTAAATTAAACTTAGAACTAAATATAATTATGATGTTTCCAAAGTACCTAATTAAGGTTTTATATGCTCACAGGTTGGCTTTTAGAACACTAGTAAGAAAATACAGTTGTGATCTGTGCTACACACCAATGATAGTTGCTGCTGATTTTGTCAGATCTATAAAAGCCAGAGACAGTGAATTTACCACAAACCAAGGTATGTGAAACCCAGAATTTGGTGACTTTGTAAAACTTAAAAATAAATTCAACTATCTTGTCTACCAGAAACAACACAATTCAGAGGTTTTATTTTTAAAATCATGTATTTCTTTATATGTTTTTAATAACTTTTTTAATGGTTTTATTTAGTGCCTCAAACTATGAATGACATGTCAAAGTGTAAGCTCAGCCTTCCTTAAGGCCCCCATCCTCTTACCTGGACTTTTATATTCCTATTTTATTGCATTCAAACTTGTCCCATTATTCCAAACTACCCTCCAAACAGCCCAAAGGGACCTTTCTAAAATGTAAATTTGATCACATCGCCTTCCTCTTTAAAATTCTTCTTAGACCTCTCATTGCCTAAAGAAATGGTTCTCAAAGTGTGATTCCCCAGATGAGTAGCATTGGCATCATCTGGAAACTGGTTAGGTTAAAAATGGGTCCCCAGGCTCCATCCGAGGCCTACTGAATCAGAAACTCTGGGGAAGTGGTCCAGCAATCTGTGTTTTAAAAAGCCCTCCAGGTGATTCAGAGCTTGCAAACTACTGAGGAAAACCACTAGCCTAGAAAGTAGAATTCCAGTGCTTGTGGATAAGAATATCATTCTTCATGATCTAGCCTCTGAACACATCTGCAATTTATCTTCTATTAGTTTCTCTCCACAGCCCACTGACTTTATTCTTCAAAAATACTAAGTCATTTTGAATCCCTGAACATGGCCTAGTCTCTCATACTTTTCTACCTAGATTTTCCTTCTCAGCCATGCCTGTCCCCCAGCTCCCTCTCTCTCTGGCAGACAGCAGTTCATGCTTAATCCAGCTCTCAAAAGTTTGTGGCTAAGGAACTTTCCTGATCACCCTCTGTTCGTGTCTTATCTCTTAAGCATAGGCTTTTTAAATGCCTCTCCCGCTAGACTATGTGTGGGCTCCATGAGGCTGAAGCTATTTCTTACTGATTTGTATACTCAGCTCCTAGCACAGTATTGAAAATATTTCAGACCAACAAGTGGTTGTTAAGTTGAAATTCTATGACTCTTTGAGTTACAAAGGGGGAAGCATCCTACATCTGCAGGAACAAGCAAATTCTCCTATCCCATGATAACTCTATAAATCAGTGGATTGCCATAGAAATTATGAGTCAGTGGAACTAGGGTGATACCCAGAAATCTGCATTTTGGCAAACACCCAGTGAATCTCATACAGGTAATCCTCAAAAAAACTTAGAAAAATTACAATACATCTACCCAGGATTTATAAAACTAACCCAAAGGTGAGAAAAATATGTCCTTTAAAACCTAGGAAAGCTCTGATACATTTGACTATATTCAAATTTGTAACTTTTGTCTGTAAGAAAAGAGAAGAAATACCCTCAAAGACAAACCAAAACCTGAAAAAAATATGTTTTTGATATTTATGATAGCAGAGCTAGTAACTTTATTTTAGAAATTTAAATAATGAGAAAAGGAACAACTAAAAAATTGTACATACCAAAATGTTCAAAGAATATGGAGAGAAAGCCCATAAATAGAATTATACATGATTTGATGTAGATAGATTATAGGATAACTTGTGAGGAAACAAGAACTTCCATCCATACTGGTGTGTATTTACACTGGCAGGCTCTTTTGACAGAAAATTTTGTATCAAAACGTTGGATATTTAACCAGCAGTTACATTCCTGGGCATTTACCCTGTGAATATACTCACAAAAGCATTCATGTAAGCCACAGCCAAAATGAAAAACAGTCTAGAAGTACAAGTGTGGTCCATCATACAGTGGAATATACCACTAAAAAGAAAATTTTGGTCTGAGCAGAGCTCCCAGGTACACCAGGGGAAGAAAGAAGTAGCATAGCAATGTATATAAAATTTTCACATTTGTTTAAATTTAATAACAGGTATACATAACTTATTCTAGAAAACAATAAGCTAATTCTCACCTTTAAGAAAGGGGTCTGTACTCCAAGAAGGGACTAGCGGTTACCAAAGGGGAGAGGTATGGGAGGGCGGGTGGGGAGGGAGAGAGAAGGAGATTGAGGAGTATTATGATTGACATGGTGTGGGGGAGATCATGGGAAGACGGTGTAGCACAGAGAAGACAAATAGTGACTCTGTGGCATCTTAATACACTGATGGGCAGTGACTGCAATGGCCTGTGGGGGGGACTCGATAATATGGGTGAAAAAACCACATTGTTTTTTCATGTGAGACCTTCATAAGAGTATATATCAATAATTCCTTTTAAAAAAATTTTTTAAAAAGAAAGGGGTCTGTTGTCAAGAGTACTATACTTTAAATTTTATCAAAATTTATATTGTTTTAATTTTCACTAAATGTCATTTGTGTTTAATTTAAAATATTTAGAATTATTTCAGTGCTATCTTATTTGAACAGGTGCCTCTTAGGCTAAAAATAGTTATTGCTGTTACATCCTATACAAATATTAAGAGTTTGGTATCTTTGTGTGTGTGTGTGTGTGTGTGTGTGTGTGTGTGTGTGTATGTGTGTTTCTGTGGATTTTAATGTTGAGCTGTTCATTTTATCAGGTGATTGCCCCTTGATTGTTCAATTTGCTGCTAATGATGCAAGACTTTTATCTGATGCTGCTCGTATAGTCTGTCCTTATGCGAATGGAATAGACATTAACTGTGGTTGCCCTCAGAGGTAAAACTCAAGAAGCTGGAAGACTTTTCAAAAAGATTAGAAAAAACTATGTGAACATGGTAAAATATCTTTCTAGTTTTCCAAGAATTAGAAAGTAAGGAAAATACAGTTAAAGTACTTGCACTAAATAAGGAAAGATTATTTAGGAACATACGTGCAAAGGTATGTTCTGGTGGCTAAAACAATGTATAGACTTTTGAGGTGAGTTTTGTCTTACCTCACCAACAGGATTTTTTTTGATGTGTGGGGATCTGCCTTGAACCTCATCCATAAGTAATTATGAGACTCTAATGTTTATAGCAATACCTAAAAGGTGTTTTAACTGCCAGGTCAGACATACTTACTCTAGAATCTATGATTCTCTGATTTGGGTGATAATAATTTGTTTTCTCCTAATTTCCTTTATAAGAACACCTTCTTATAATTATGTTTTATTTCTATACCACAGTAACTTGGTTGACTCTAAGTAACTGGGTACTGATAGGATTACTTAATTTGACAATAATATCCCTACCTTCCTGGTGCCACACTGGATTATCTGTCAGTAATTCAAAATGTGTCCAAAGGATAAAATCAAGGTTTTAAGTACAGCATAATCCGAATCAGATTAGACATATTTGTGTACTCATTAGAAGAGTTAAATAAGCTGTTTAGTGGTACTGGAATGCTGTAAACCAAAAATATCTTAGTATTAGGACTAATAAAAGCTCTTATTATGTACAATAAACATCAAATGTGGAATTTAAAAAAATCTTAAGTAATTGCCATTAATTACACATACTTAAATCTTTTGGTCGAATGAATTTTAATTTAATTTTTTCACAAAACTATCTCCGCTAAGTACTTTTTAATCTGGGAACATACTTTCCTAATCTCATATTGATCCACTTAGAAATGTTGAATCTATGAATTGTAAAAATCTGATTGCATTCCAGATTGCTCAATAGAGAAATAGATGCACTTACAGTGCTTTTAGAATTGTATCTTCTCTTCCAGCTATTTACAATTTATCTGTTGTTGTGTTTGCTTTATAAAGGTGGGCAATGGCAGAAGGTTATGGAGCTTGCTTAATAAACAAGCCAGAGCTTATTCAAGATATGGTGAAACAAGTAAGAAACCAAGTGGAAAATCCCAGATTTTCAGTATCTATTAAAATAAGGTAAAGGCCATATTTTAATCTATTGACAAGATTGTCCATTACTTAGTAAAGGATATTCCTTTTGTCCAGAGGTGTGGGGGTGCCTATCCTTAATAAATTGGTAGCTGGTGTATGGAAATGTTGAAACATAATATTTAGTAAATCAGTATATACCATATTTTTTATTTGTAATCTAGAACGATTTCCTCTTTGCATTTTTTAACAGAAATTAAAACATCTCTCTATTATTAAAAACTTTCCTCCAAAAGAAACCCTCAACTTTTTCCATGTACTATTTAATTAATACTAGAGAAACATTCCTTGTACCAAGACTAGAAAATATGAATGATATTTGCACCAAAATTTCACAATGAAAAAGAAAAGAAACCAGGAATCAGTTTTTTGGTAACCTGTTACCTTATTTCAAGATAAGGTATTATATTCTCCCACTTGCAGACTGGGGCATGCACAGAAAATATTAGGATAGCATCTTTCAATTCATCTGTGACAGAACTGATAGCTTTTTCAGTTGCCAAAGCCAAAAAGGAGGAGCACAGAGTAAGATAAAACTTACTGGCTATTCTATTGAGTTGCCAGTGAATAATGAAATGGCTAAATTTGAAGTCTTAAATGGGAACTGATCCCTGAACAAAACCTGATAGTAACATGTAGTGATAATAGGTTATAGCAAAGCTAACTATAAGGTCTTAGATGAAATATTTATTTATTTATTTAATCATTAAGATTTGTGTGCTGTGAAAAGACAGATATATCTTTGAAATTATAGGATCCATGATGACCTTACAAGGACTGTAGATCTTTGTCGAAAGGCTGAAGCAACAGGAGTTTCCTGGATTACAGTCCATGGAAGAACTGTTGAAGAAAGACATCAACCAGTTCACTATGACGCCATGAAAATAATTAAGGAAAGTATGTCTATACCTGTAATTGCTAATGGAGACATCAGAAGCTTACAAGAAGCAGAAAATGTGTGGCATATTACTGGGACAGATGGTAAGAAATCAGTACTTGAGTTTTTGTCGTTTAATTAGCAAAAAAAAAGGTATGAGAATGTTGATGTGATTTTCATTTTTTTTTTTAAACAGAATCATATTAATCTGTTGTACTGATTTAAACTAAGCAGTTTAATAAAATGATGTTAACTCTTCTACTTAGAAACAACAGATTATTTTAATGGGGGTAAATTAATTGTTACTTTTTTGCCACCATCATAACCAGTGAGTGAACAATTATAAATCTTTCAGATAACTTGTTAGTGAAATAGAACACCTAGAATAGAAATGAGAGTTAGTGAACAAAATAGTGTTCACAGGAACCAAAGGAATCCTAGACAGCTATGCAGTCTCATTATCCCCTTCAATTATTGGCATACCAACCCCTGTGATACCAATTGCTGAATGGGAGAATACAGATAAACTTAACTTTCAGTAAACCCAACTTTTAACAATCTGGATTTACTCTAAAAAAAAAAAACCCTAGTTGCTTAATGTAGAAGTTTTTAAGAAATAAAAAAGAATTCCTATAAGTAATTAAATTTTCTTGGTTTATAAGAAGTATCAAAATAAATTTTTATAATTGGATAAAAGACTAATATAAGGGCATTATAAAATCTTGGAATACTACTTTATTTTTTAATATTGTTTGTTTCATTGTGTTTGACCTCATAACCATAAATTCTTAATATGTGGACAAATGTCCTGTGCTTTAATTTGTAGGAGTGATGGTTGCAAGAGGACTACTAGCAAACCCGGCCATGTTTGCTGGATATGAGGAAACCCCATTAAAATGCATCTGGGACTGGGTTGACATTGCTGTTGAACTTGGAACGCCTTACATTTGTTTCCATCAACATTTAATGTACATGATGGAAAAGATCACCTCAAGACAGGAAAAAAGAGTATTTAACGCTCTGTCAAGCACATCAGCAGTCTTAGATTACCTTACAGACCATTATGGGATTTGACTGGACTTCCTAAATAAGTTTAATGTATACTGCATTTTCGGTCTACAGTGAAACCACCCAAGGTCATATGTTGGTTTTTACTTTAAATTAGTGGCTTTCAAATGTTAGTATTAAAAACAATATCCTGAGAGCATTTTAAAAATCAGTCCTAGACGCCATCCTCAGAGATTCTGATTGAGTAGTTCTCTAGAGTGGAACCAAAATGTACACTTTTAAGGAAGACCCCGGTGACCCAAACATCCTGGTCATCCTAGGTCCAAACATTGACAAACATTGTGCTGAATCCTATTAATGGATTTTTTTTTAAGTGAGGATTTTTCTCCAAAAGGAATAATGTTTAACATTTTTAAATAAATAAAACTCTTTAATACTAACAGTATGACATGTAATATCTGTAAATTAACAGGAAATATGTTTTTAATAAGTGCAGAGAAAAGACCAAATGCCAATACCTATATAAAATGAAAAGGAACAAAAAATTCTGTATAGAATTGCATTCAGGGCTTATATTAAAAATTCAAATTGTGAAATCAAACTGGTACTTTGGTATGAATTAAATACCACAAGGTATTTTTTTATTTTATGTAACAATTTAATTAGATGTGATGTTTTCTATAATTTAAAACAAGATTCCATGAAACTCTTTAAATTACATTAAATTTATTACATTTCAAGCTCTAGGTCTTTAGAAGAGTGATAGCTTGGCAAATAGAGCTGTATCTAAAATGATAAAAGTTAATTTCAGTCTCCTACATCTTAAGCATGAAAAATTTGGTAGCTAATCTAGAGATGATTATACATTTGAAATATTATTTCCTGGAGAATAGTAACCAGGTTTTATTTTTGACTTACAAACTGAACTTTCATACCCTGTTTTTAGTGATGTTATTTTTATGCCTCCCAGCAGGTGATAATAATTTTAATAGTTTGGGAATGTTACTAATAGAATTTTGTTATTGGTGAATGTACCACTGCAAGAATTAAGTATCTCAGGTTAAAATAAAGTAATTCCATAATTAAGATATTGGTCTGTATTACCAACATGAAAACTGTTGAGACAACTATCTGAAACTGCTTAATACCAGAGTTTGGGAATATTAAATGGATCAATTTTAACAATCACTGTGTTGCCATCTTTCTTAGGCACATCTGTGATTTAAATTTTTAACTTTTTAAAATAAGTGGTTTTTTTCATTTGATGTGAGTAGTATATAAGCAAATAGGAGGGTATTACTGTCAAAGGAATCACTTTACGTTGGAAAATTAACAAGTGAAATGCACTAATGTAAGCACAGCAACGTGGAGTAAGGCACACAGCCTTTCAAAGGAACCAGTATGGAAGGGCAAGGAGTTCCACACGCATTTGATTTTTTTTTTTACTTTGTTTATGGTTAATTTCTGTTCAGTCTTCTTTCTTTTATATATATGATCAAAAATATTTGTGATAAGAAAAAGCACAAGAAAATATTTTATGTTCTATATTTCTAAGAAAAACGTATCTTATAACTTATTTTCATTTAATATTTCCAAATAATTGTCCCCAGGAGAATACTCTCATTTGCATTCCTGATATATTGGCAATATTGGAAAAAGTTAATTTGAGTATTCATGCAATTTGAAAACCTAGAGAATAATGAATTGAAAGAATATGCCATACCTACTTATTTTCCCCTCCTATCAGCCTGCAAACATCTCCCTAAAGTTTACTGCCTCTTCCCAGTCACTTAGGGCAGAAGTTAAAAAGTTTTTAGGCCACATGTCTTCCCTATTCTCGAAACAAAATCCTGCAAAACCACACTACCCCTTTTCTTAACTACAGCTCAGTTCTCGACAATGAAACCACCTCTACTAGACAGACGGAACAGGAAAGGAGTGCGTGAGTTTCAAACAGTTTGAATTTGCACCGCTCTAACCCTCCTTCTCCCGGGACCCCGGCGAGCTCGTTCGGGAAGCGTCGCCTACCGCACCCTCCCAAACCACACCTTATTGGAAATTTTAAGGCGGCGCTACTGAAGAAGTTGCACTTATGATCCCCAAGCTTCGGGTGGGAAAGTCCGAGTCACTCTCTAATTACACCGCAATTAGCAAACAATTGGCACTAATCGTCGAGTTCCCGCCGCCGTACCTCCTTCGGGACTGGGAGCCCGGGCGGAGGGAGGCGGCCGGCTGGGGTGCAACGAGGCCCTCCCCCTCCCCGCCCCGGCGTCTGACGTCCCGCGCGTCGGCGGCTGCGGAGTAGCGGAGGGAGCCGGGCCGGCCGCAGGCGGGGTAAGGCCGGGTGGGAGCCGAGGGGCCGAGGTCCTCCAGGCGGCGCGAACGCGGGGCCTCGGGCCGCCCGCTGTCTCTGCAGCTGGCCCGCTGGAGTGGCCCTGCCCCTGCGCGTCGGTCAGGGGGCCGCGGCGCGTTCGCGGAGTGGGAAAGCCGGGGGCGCGGGCGTTGCCCGAGGGCGGTGTCAGGCCGCCGCGGCCCAAGAGCAGGACCGGGTGCCGCGCAGGCCCCCAGCAGGTTCCGCTCGCCTCGCCGGGGACGCGGGGACGCGGGCCTCCAGGCGCACCCTTGACCCTTTGCTTCCCTTCCCGCCCGGGGTTAACGCCTGCGCCTTGGGTGAGGGGAAGGCCGCACTCCACTCACCCCTGGGCAAAACTGTGCCCCGCGGGCCTTTAACCCAGTTTTCTTTGAAAGGCAGCAAAGTAAAGTAAGTGTTTCTCTATTTAGGTGTGAAGAGAAAAAAATGACACTCCAGTGGGCGGCAGTTGCAGCCTTTCTTTATGCTGAAATAGGACTCATTTTACTCTTCTGCCTGCCTTTTATTCCTCCTCAGAGGTAGGAAACCTCCAAACCGTTACAATAGTGAAAATGTGATTAGCTCCTTTAAACTGTTTAGTCTGATATGGGAAAAGTTTTCTTGAGATCAAAAAGTTTTGAGTGCTGAACTCAATCATAAATTGATTAAGGGGATGATAGTACAGCCTGGAGAATATAGCCAATGATTCTATAACATCTTCCTATGTAGACAGACAGTAACTGCACTAGTGGGGTCAGGATTTAATAATGTGGGTAACTCTTGAACCACTGTGTTGTATATTCGAAACCAATATAAGATTGTCTGCCAACTACAATAAAAAAAGTTTTGAATCCTGATTATATAAAAGGTGCTCTTTCAAAATAAACTCACTAACAAGTTGGGTAATATATACTAATAATATTATAACTTTATTTAAAACTTTTTATTATATGTACAAATGAATTAAATTTTCCTCCCTTTAGGGCTTAGTCCTTTTGATTGTTAATTACAGATGTAATAAAGCACTGGTTATATTTCTAACACCTATCCTGTGTTCACGTTTACATTTGTTTTATTGCCCTCAATTGGAAGAGTGAACTAAATAAAGGTAAATAGATATATGTACATAAATGGTGTTTACACCATGGCATGGAGAAGACAAATATTTCATTGGGGCAGTGGAATTACAATTTAGTTACTTAGACAATAAATGATTCTTAGTTATGGCCTTGTGCGATCAAGAAGTAGTTTCATTAATGTTTAATAGCAATTTTACTGTTTTCCTCACACAGAATTAATACTAAATTCTGTTAAATTGATTAAGTTAATAAAATTAAAATTAAAAGCATTGGCTCACTTTACTCCTATAATAATCCACTCATTAGGAGTTCAATTTTACATCCAGAAACTTGGTACTATGGTGAAATAACCTTGCAATAAAAATGCAGCAAGACATCATTCATCCTTTTGTCTCATAAATGAGATCTTTCAGATGACCCACTGAAGTTTAGTAAGAAATGTGGGAAATTTTTTCCTTGGCTCAGGGGCTACATAGTCTTTCACAACTCTTAACTTGCCTCTTACCTACCTGGTTTCTACTCCTTTCCCCATCTATCAGATACCATCAGTTTTTTCTTCCTTACTAAAGGAAAAAATGGATCATACTATAAGAAGGAGTATTCAAAATAATTTTACACAAATGAGTGTTTCAATAGGGAACGTGGCCTTAGGTCATCTAGCTGATCCATGGCCTCATTTCAGACAATAACACTACCTGTCATGCTGTTGGTTTTGTTTATAAGTCCTCAACAACACCTTCTTTAGCTTTTTTGGTAGTACTTGCAATAATAAAGTTCTATATTCAAGAGAAAACAACATGTTATTTATAAACTATCTTGATATGTAAATAAGGCTTAAGAATTTACAAAAAAAAACATTTGTCAGTTGATCTTTTCTCAATCAGAATTATCTATAAATTATGGATCCCTTTCTCCCTGCTAAATATAATTTTTTCCTGTCCTGATCAAGTGGCTATTTGATAAAAGTTTGGATATGTACATACATTATATAAATAAACTCTCATATACATTAGAAAGGTATATATGCACAAAAATCACTTACAATATGTGCTTATACCCATCTTTTCATCTTTTAATGTGTGTGTAATCTTCAAAGAAAAGTCTTCAGCCTTCATTTAATTTGGCGCCCTTGATTTCTTCCCACCCGCTAAAGGCACATGTTTAGAAATACTGTGTTTATATCTCAACTGTGGGCATTAGGGTGTGACCCTGAGCAAGTTACCTACCATCTCTGGCCAATTTCCCTATCTGTAAAATGGTAATACTGATACCCACCTCACATAGTGTGGTTGGGTTGATGGAATGAGCTGAAATATGTAAAAGTGCTTAAAACCATAGTATAGTAGGAACTCAATATATAATAGCTATTACTAATTCCTCCTTGAATTGAATCTTATTATAAACTGCTAATTAGGCCCTATAGAGGGCCTCTTCTTTGTTCCCATTTATACTGGCCCTTGAAATGTGAATTTACACTTGGACCTAGATCAAAATATTGCCACTTATGTACTCTTTCTAAAAGTACAAAATTGTAATGTAAAATTTAAATAGCATCCTTAGAACTGGAAGCATAGAGACATGTAGTTGCTTCATCTATATCAGTCTTCCTCTCCCCACCAACTTCAATTTACTGGAGTTGTTTTCAATACCTGTAAATTACTAATTTGTCATAATCTTAAAACTTTCTTTAAAAGTTGTATTTGAAGTTTAAGTGCTTATTACCTTTATGTCATCTTTGGACTCAGTTAATGTGTTATTCATTTAAAATACCCATGTAAAAGTCTATTATCTTTCCAGGTATGCAGGGGATTACTTTGTCACTCTTTGCCGTTTATAATCCATACTTTCTTACCTCTCTGTCTTTGCTTATACTGTTCAACCATCTTGACCATTTCCCCCTTTCATTTACTCTATGTTCAAATATTGATCTGGGTGGTAATTACATGGCTATATGCATATTTAGAAATTCATCAACCTATATATTTAAGATTTTTGCACTTTACCATATATATGCATATTATATTTTAATTATCTTGTGGTAAAAGTAGAGAAATTCTTACTTATAGTAGCTGTTGAAAGTGTACGACATAAAAATAACTAGTGCAGAGACTTGAACCCGTCCCCTCCCCACTCCTGAAATAGGGCTAATTGTTAGACCAGCAGGTCTCCGTTATTTCTAAGTTATTACCCTGGTTAAGGAAAAGATATAAAGTGATAGTTTCTATGAGCAATGTAACATTTTACTATAAGAATACTTCTTTAAAGTTTTGATCATGTATCTTTACTTTAAGATTTATTTCCATTTTAGAATATTCAAGCCACCAGAAAGAAAACAATCAAATGTCAGGTTATTACTAAATTTGAAAGAGTTGTTCTTAGTTCATGAGACATGTCATATCAGAGAATTGATAACTCTTTGATATGACATAAAAATCATTTCTGTAATCTTTACTCACAATATAACTACCAAAATCTCCGTTCAATATTGAGAAATTATTTCAAGACACTCTTTTTATTTGTTTAACCTAATATAATTGTATTACGTTACAGATGGCAGAAGATTTTTTCATTTACCGTCTGGGGTAAAATTGCAACCTTCTGGAACAAGGCTTTTCTTACCATTATAGTCCTATTGATTGTTCTGTTTCTAGGTAAGTAGTAGATTTCTCCTTTGAATAAGCTTAACTCTAGTTTTTTTTTTTTTAATTAATTCATTGGTTTTTAATTAAGTTGATGTTCTGGTTGACGTACAATTGGCTTTCAATAGAATATTGATAAACAGTTTATGATATTACTGTTGATAGAATTACTGATATTACTGTACTAAATGTCGTATTTCAAACTTGCTTTCAAATGGCTATCTGAAAAACAGTATCTGATAAACAATTGATAGATATTACTGTAGAAGCATAAATTTCAGAGTGTAGATGTTCTTAATCTCTTTTAAGTTGTTTTAAGATTTACATGCAGCAGTGCATGGCCCACTTTTCAGAGTTACCAGTTATATAATCCTTTGTAACCTTGATGTCCTAGGCACGCATAGGCTTAGATGTTAGGGAGGCAAACAGAGGAATAGAATCATTAGTCCTCAGAAGTAGTCTTAGATACAGGGTCTGAATCTTGACTGAATTCTGCTTAAGAAAGGAACTACAACACAAACGTTTGGGGACTATTACAAACATTTGAATATGGACTAGTTGTTAGATATTAGAGAATTCTTGCCAACTTCAGTTGTGATAACTAAGAATTCTTGTTAACTTTAATCGTGATAAGTGATGCTGTATAGCAGAAGTCATCAGCCTATAGCCTGTGGACAAAATGCCTATTTTTGTACACAAAGTTTTATTGGAACCATGCCCATTTTTAATGTATTGTCTATGCATGTTTCCCTGGACAACTGCAGAGTTGAGTAATTGCAACCCACAGTATAATCTAAAACATAAGCTCCCTACCTCTTTACAGAATAGGTTTCCTGTTACATAGGAATATGTCCTTATTCTTAGGAGCTGCATGATAAAATGTCATACTTTAAACTTACTTTCAAATGTCTAAAAGAGAAAGATGAAGCTAATATGGCAAAAATGTTAAATAATTCTTGAATCTAGGTGGTGGAAATACAGGTATTTATTGTACTAGTTTTTTAGCATGTTTGAAATTTTCATTACAGCAAGTATCTTAGAAATTAGAAGTAGACCTTTAACATTCTCATCAAGTCAGAAATTCCGGGAGTCTTAATAATTATCATGTGTTTTAGAAAAGGAGTTTGACCTCAGAGAGACTAAGTAACTTGTCTGAGATCACCCAGCTGTTCCTTGGCACTTCAGATTTTGATACATAATGCATTGTATTCCCTCAGGGTTGTTGTGTTGTGGGTTGAGTAATTTTACAGAAGCCAACCTGGGACCATAATCACCTTGTATGCCACTGTTTTGTGAGAAAATGTATCCCATTTTCCATACCACCTACCTCTGAAATGGAATCTTTTTTATAAAACTGGTAACAACTAGGGTGAGGGGGTATATAAGTAATTGTATCAGGTTGTGAATGGGTTCATGCCTCATTTTAAAATGTCATCATTTGTCTCATGGTACATTATTGTTAATGTTACTGATTGAATCTCCAGCCATATAAGAAATAACAGTAAGTAAAGAACAATAAGGACAACAGGTCCCAACTCTGCCACCAGCTACAACTAAATGACCTTTACAATGGCATTTCATCTCTGTGAGTTTGGTCTATCCATTTGTAAAATAGAGGTAGAAGTAATCTCTGCAGATCCTACTAGCTCTATAAGAGTATTATGACCCCCTAACTCTAAAATTCCCACTGAAAACTACTACATATCCATATAAGGGGAATTATAGTCAAGGTTCATTTGCTTATGTATACCAGAAACCAACTTGAGCTAACTTGAACAAGAACAGGGAATTTATAATAAAATATGGGTTGTTTTAGAGCAGTCCAGGGAAGGAACTAGTCCTAGGAACTGCCCTTTTCAAGTCCCTGCATTTCTTCCAGGGGCTACTTCATTATTGCTTATCTCTACAGACTCTGATACTCTATTCCCACAGCAGAAAATGGGCATCTGCCAAGTTATCATCCCAGCCAGAAGCAAAGATAACCATTTCTGAGTCCCAATCTCAATTCCAATTCTAAGAGAAAAAATTAGACCACCTCACACCAGGTATCCATCCCTTGCCTAGTAAGCTATGGCTGGGAGTCAAGAGTCGCAAAACAAAACCATTGACTACTGGCTGGAGCCTACATCTTTGGGCAGAATGGGCAGTTAATTCCCAGAGAATAGGAATATCATGAATGGTTAATGTAGGCGTTTTAACCATGGTTGATAAAGGCAGGCAGATGGGAACTTACCCTTTTAAGCCTCAGTGTTTCCATCTCAGAATAAGGTAATAGCACCTACTTAACTGACATGTCTGAAGGTTTAAGTGCAGTAATTTATGTAATGTACGTAGTCCAGGGTTCTCATGCACTAGAATGACAATGTAAATAATGCAAAACCAGTAGATTACTTAAATTCGATTTGTATTTTACTTCAGGATTTATTTCATTTTTCTTCTTGGTTGTCTCTCTAATAATGTAATCATTACAAGGTTTCCTCCTAGAGCCAATACTAACTGAAGTGTATATGTGCATCTGTGTCTTAGGAGTGGGACTAGGCAGAAAGGAAGCAGAAACCTAAGAAAATGTTTAAAATCCACAGAAATGTATCTCAGGAATTTAAAAATTTCTACAAGTGAACCATAAAAAGAGGATCTATCTCCACATTGTTTATAGAAAATTGACCACGTGTCATACCCTGCCGTTTTGTTGCCCCATTCCATTTTTCATAGTCACCTTTACTTCTTGGATATAACTTGCTAATCTTTAGCATTTCTGCATAATGGGCCCAGGAATATTAGTCCCATTTAATTGCCAAGGAAGCTGAATAACAAGCATAGTGATCCTTCATCGTACTGTGTGGTTATTTTGGCCTGCTCCAGATTACTCGTAAATATCATTTTGTTTGTTTTTTAGTTGCTTTGTAGTAGTTGCCATGCTCGCTATGTCATTGAGGCAACCTGAGAAATGACAAAGGGGAAATTGCCATTAACATCAGGGAAATTTCAAAAAGATAACTTAAGAGACTGTATACCCTCTATGCAGACAAATTTGGAAATGTAGATGAAATGGATAATTTTATAGAGAAATACAGCTTATCAAGTGAACCCTAATAAAGATGTAGAACTTAAGCAAACCATTTCCATAGAATTATGGAAAGTTATCAAAAGGTTACCTGCACTTTAGAAAAGCATAAAACCAGATAGTTTTCAAAGAAATTCTACCATTCTCAAAAAATAGATATGACCAACACTGCTAGACTTATTCCAGAATTTAAAGAAAGAAAACTTGAAACATATTTTGTGAAGCTAGAAAAAAACAAACCCTGGAGTTGAAAATAAACCAGAACAAGTAAATCAAGTATTATGTAAAATTGGTAATATATGACACAGAGAAAAGAATTGTTTAAGGTAACTTGAATTTGGTGCTCAAACTACCTCCTTGCTGGGATATATTCTAAGAACAAAAGGGATTGCAGGAAATCTGAAACTTCACTTAGTTTCATTATTAGTAATTTTTAAACTATTTTATGTATATTGCATCATAAAGCAAATGAGTACATACGTTAATATTAGAAACTAAGATACAAAACAAAGTCAAAATATTAGGAATTTTTTTATTAGAATGATTTGTTTTTTTAATTTGAAGTAGTGGAAATCTCTTGGGACTAGATAGAGATGGTCGTTGCACAACATTATGAATATACTAAATGCCACTGTTTGCTTTACAATGGTTAATTTTTTTAAATATAAATTTCATGTCAATAAATTTTAACAAGTAATAATTTTTAAAAAGATACAGGTATTCTGGTTTTGGTAATGGCAATATAGCTTGCATTAGACTGACTTGTCTGTGGTAACAGTTATGAACTCTGGACAAAATATGAAGAGTATTTGAAGGCCTGGGAAAACAACCAAAAATAGACAGAAACTAGAAGGATGTCAACCTTGAAAGAAAAGAATCACACTGAGTGTGATCACATAGCTGTTCCTCTAAGGGCACTTCTCAGACCATGTGACATGGACAGATAGAACTCAGAAGGCCACAGTCTTACTACCTTTAGGTGTCAGAGGTCAGAGATACTGGAAATTAAGGGGCGATAGCCAAGAAAGTAGAAAGCCCCAAAAAGTGAACTCCAAAATATGCATATAAATTCCTCTCAAATCCTTGGTTGAGTCTTGAACGTCAGGTGTTAAGGGAAGATTCAAGAGGCTCACTGTAAAGCAGCAGCTAGAATGCTAAAAGAGCTGAGCAGAAATTTTAGCTGGTTCCCACCAGGGAGAAACAAGGTTTGGAGTTTAAGTCCCATCATGTTAAAGGAATTTGGGAAAGTCCTTGGCCTTTCCACTAAAATCACCGAAGGCTAGTCCTTGGGAATAGAAACTGTGTCCCAGTAGTTAGGAATTTACTGTAACTGAAAATAAAAGAAGTCCCACACTAAAAAAAAAACTGTAAAAATCAAGTCTTCCCCAACAGCTGTAGAATATACATAATCTTTGCCATCATTCTGGGCACATGAATACACTATACTGTGGTCACCAAGATATATTCTGGGCCATAAAGCAAGTCTCATTAAATTACAAAGGACTGAACTCATGCAGAGTATGTAAATGAGAAATTTAGGACATATCTGGAAAAACGCCATGTTAGAAATTAGACAAGACACATAACCAAGTCAATAACCCATGGGTCAAGGAACTCAAAGGGAAATTAGAAATTTTTTTTTATAGAAAAATAATGAAAACACAATAAATCAAAAATACAGTGAAAAATGTATTGATAATTGGGATATCAGTATATCATTACTTAGAGGACAATTTAGTTTGACTTTATAAGAAAAAGAAAAGAGGTTAAAATCAATGATGTTAAGAATATTCATGATTTTTTTTAAAGTTAGCATATTAGGAATAAAAGGAAACTTCCTCATTCTGATGAAAAGCATCAATAAAAAAATTAGAGCTAGTGTCATATGATTAAATATTGAAAGTTTCTCCCATAAGACTGGGAGCAAAGCAAAAATGTTTACTTTCAC